CCAATTAGAGGGAAGCAAGTAAAAATATTTAAACAAAGACACACAGAAATAAATATAGAAGACCTTGGTGAAGATATAGATATTCGTCAACATCAAGATGAATTTGAAAAGGATAGCAAAAATGATGAAGAAGATTTGGACGAAGACTTGGAGAACGTATTATGAATCAAACAACAACTGAGTTATTTGGTGCATACCAGAGGATGCATAGGTTCAAAGAAGGGTGGATGTCATGTTGTAACACGACTATATGGTGAAAATATAAATAAAAAAGATATTATTAATATTTAGTCATTTTGGATGTTAGAAACAATGACCAATTTTAGTGCCAATATTCAGGGTCAATTAATGTCATCCCACAAGCGTCATCGAACTAAGTACCCTATGTACCAATGGAAGAACCAGGATTATTTTCCAACCCTACATGGAACAAGCCTAGTAGGTATATACCGGTGGAGACAACCAATATGTATGATGGGGGTGAAGGAAGACCACTTATCTTTTCCATTGCAGACAAATTGGTCATTATGCCAAAGAACATTCCAATCCCAAAGCCAATGATGATTACGTGCCAGTGTGTTGAAATTGCAAGCAAACGAGGCATACTTATTAGCAATGTAATGCTCCGTCCAATTTCAATAAACGGGATCAACAGATCCAAAACCAAGGAAAAATTGAAGAGATAAATCAAAGTCCTCAAGATTCTCTGATAAATCGGGTGGAATGAGTCCTACCCATTTTTACCAGGAGTCGGCAAAAGGAGAAAGGACCAAATCAATATTCAAGTGAGTCTGATGTGAATGGCCAATTTGATCCAATTACGGAGACATCTAATCCAAGTCTTAGTATGGGTCTCTTATCTAGTATGAAACCTAACTTGGTTGGGCAATCCAATGAGGTTCCGAATACGAAACCTTCGGTTCCATTTCAAGTTGTTCCATTCTGTATGGCATTTCAGGGGAAACGTACTTTCCGTAGAAAGATCCTCTTAGAGACAAGAATTCCGATGAAGCGCCATTAACTGTTCCAATTCGGAGTCCAGGGCGGGAGAAAAGGAGACCAGACGGAGTTAAAAGGGAGGAGAAGATAAGAAAAGGGGCATTTGGAGATCAAGGTTTTGGGGTCGGAGAGCTAGCTTCAAGCTTCTTCGAAAGGTGTAGAATTGGGTTCATATGATTTGGGAAGACTTTTGGCAATCGTTGCTGAAAGTCAGTGTTTGTATTGGTGAATTGAGTTTTTGCAATAAAGTTAAGATTGATATTCTTGACTGTTTTGTGAAATTGGAGAAACTTCAGCGGTTGAAATTTAGAGGTGTCTAGAGGGTTGAGTATGCCAAGCGCATGCAAAAAGTTGTGTTAATCTTACGGAACAGATAGAGGATATTTGACCATTAGCGTAAAGAAGTATTGAAAGTTAGCAGATTGGGGTTGTTTAGGATTTTTGTAATATCTGGAGATCTACCAACTGGAATAAGGTGACTTTTGGCATGATAAGTCGAGGACTTCTAGGGGGCAGCCAAGATACATCAGTGTGGATTAACGGCGTTTTCTTGCAACCTGTAAGTTGGATTGGATTGAAACTTCTTGAGCATTTAGAAGGCTTGCAAAGACACTAGTGGTAGAAGTTTATAACAATTGGACAATCAGATTGAGAATTACAGCTTGCCGAAGCTTGTTGTATAGGGTTAGGGTTTAAAAAATAAAAATAAAAATAAAAATAAAAATAAAATAAAAAAATAAAACTAACAAATAACAAAAGACTTGTATTTATAATATCTTGAAGTTATTAAAAATAGTGTTTCTAAGCATTTTGTAATGGGATTAAGCTTTTACATTGAAATCCGAAATAGTCGTATTTAGATGGTTGAAACCCACTAGCCTACCCGGATACTTACAAAACATTGTTTTATTTTCTACAACTAGATGCTGGATGTGTTCTCAAGCAAGATAGCATGTAATATGATAGCAAAAAAAAAAAAAAAAAAAAAAAAAAAAAAAAAACTCGCACCAAACAAGGAAGAAGGTTTTGTCTCATCCACCCCAACAAACTACGTTCATCCATTTTATCCAAGGGCGTTCATCCATTTTATCCAAGGGCGTTCATCCAATGACATCCAAACCCCTTTCATCCATCGATTGGAGGGCTGAGGTGGCAGGGCAATCGAGTGCCATGTCTGAATTTCGACAACACAGATCGACATGATCCAGGACTGGCAACCGACTTCGGGACCAAGCAGCATCGCAGCAATTGCATCTCAATCCCTTCACCACCTTTCAAGCGTCCAAGCCCACTCTCCGCAAGGCAACCAACCGTCCTCACTGGAAACAGAAGATTTGTTTGGAGTCGTTCATACACAAGTGGGTCCCGTAAGTGAAGTTGAGTTGCATGTTTATAGCTCACTGACGTCGGAGGAATCACCCAAGGTGCCATACGTCGAGGAAGAGTCGTTGGTATTGGACCCGGATCTGCCCAACCCCGCGTCGACAGCTCCTCCTTCGCTCCCGTTACCACAACTCTGATGATCGTTCCTGCAGGTGAGTGACTATTGTTCCTATTAATGAATTTTGGTTAGGAGGTGACGACACTCCGTCTTAACAGTCGATTGTTGATTCGATGTGCTGGTTTATCGGGAAGTTTTTGTGGAATTCGATTTGGTGAGCTAGGGTGAGGTTTTGACAAAACATTGTTGGAGTTGAGGTGGCGGTTGAAGAATCTGTCGATTTTTTAACATATTTTCCTAAGATGTAATTTGATTTGATTTGATTTGATTTTTTTTTTTTTTTTTTTTTTTTTTAGCTATCCTTTTGATTAATCCTTCCATGGTGTCCTCCTGTCATCTTTACGACTGTATCGTCATATTTCAATTATATCTTTCCTAGCAGTCGTCGAATATCCTCAGCTGCGCTTTTACTGTATGTGTCTGTTGATTCACCTTCTTTCACTTCTATTTACCTTTTGGCCCTAATTACTTTCCTCACGTTATAGCCAATTCTTCCTATTGTCTCGACCATCCTGTCGAGAAATGTTATACCGATATGATATGGTCTTATCAGTATAATGAAGAATGCAATGGTTTCAGGAAGCATTGACCGTTGTAGCTTTGAATCTGACGAGAATGTAGATCGATTGGGATAGACGAACCTTATCAGTAATTTTGCATGTTTGAAGTGTGCTGATATCATTGCGGGAAAGAGCAAGATGATAATGTTGTCCCAGATGCTGGCGTGGCCGATTGCAAATCAAACTCCCACGGTTTAGCCAGGCACATTGAATCACTACATGACCAAATTTTTTTACACCATCTGAAATAGGTTTTGAGATAAATATTTTTTATCATTCAATAATGCAGGTGCATCAAAGCCCTGCTAGAATCATGTTCGTGTCCAATACCAGATCATTTTCTTTACATTAGGGTGGGCAGGATCTGAGCAGCATCTAATGTGCGACAACTTTTTCGTAGGATGCCGCAGCCTTCCGCGGGCCTATTTAGGTAGGAGGAAATCATCAATAAGCTTGCCGCGAATTCCAATGTCGATTTGAATGACACAAACAAGCTCTTCGCTGAGCTGCTCGAGCCTCCTTTTTTTTGAGGGAGTAAAATCGTGCAAAACTTCCTTGCCTCCTGCAGCTTCTGGAACCGACTGCACATTGCTATTCACAGTCGAAATTTGGCAAAGCATCTGGAGGTCATTACACAAAGAATTAGCCTCTCCATGAGGATCATAATCTGTCTTCGGTACACGAGGATGCTCAAGTATGCGCAAGTATGCCTTCTTAAAAAATGGCTACAAACGTGAGAAGAGCGTAATAGACTGGTGGTTTGCTAGTGTGTCAGAATTCAGGGAAAGCCGATTCCCACCTTGCTGTAACCTATTATCTCGCCTCGGAACACCATTGCGGACTGGACCATCGGCAAAGAACAGGCGTGTATTGCATTTGCTGATACTTCAATTACTGCCGAGGCATTGGAAAATGATGTACTGCATGGTCCCGAGGCTCTGTTGGCTCTTTGTCGTCAGAGACCGAACAAGTACAGGACACGGAGTGCACGTCTGATTCCCCAAATTGTGAATTGTTTAGGCTGTGGAGAGGAGGCCTTAATTTGAGTCTTTCCTATGCTTTGAATCCTGGCGAAGGATGACGAAGAGGCCAAAAGCAGTTGCAGGTCAAGCAGACGTATTCTGACAATTTGTGAAGTGTTGAAAGAGGGCTTTCTCTAAGGAGCGAGAAGGAGCAGTGAAGCTTAGTCCCGAGCCATCAAAGTGAAAGGATCGGTACAAGCAATGATGCTATGCTCTTTCTAATGAGAATGACCAGTAGCAGCCGTGAGAATAATAAAATCTTGATCAACTAATCAAAATGCAACAAAAATGTCGTGCACATGGCGGAGAATGGCCTCATGCAATCACTTCTTCATCGCCTCAGACAAGGTTAGTACCACAATCCTCCCGTTCTTACTTTGATGAAGAGCGTCATTGGTAAATCGAATCGCATCAAACACTTTTTGCGATTCCGACTACGACAAATTTCGTTTGTGGTATGTCTTTCAGTGTAAGCAGAAGTGCATGAAGGGATGGCTGAGGTCCTCTCCTCCCTTACCCCAAACACAGAAGGCAAGGCTTGTGCTTGCGAGCTAGTGTCGAGGACGTCAAAGTAGATGTTAGGTAACAACTATCCTTCGGAGAGAGCGGTTGTTGATCCCTCTCATGAGGAGTCTGTTAGTTGACGACCCCAATATAGTCATGAAACCGACGAAGGAAACATCTGCAGGTCTTGCTAATGTGGTGAACTTCAGCGGAATGTATGAGATCATCCCCGTCGACGTCGGAGGCAACACTCTCACATCCGAGATTATCGTGCACAACTTTCTCCAATTCATCAGAAACGCCGGCTCTCCAATCGAGACCAGGATTCTCCAGGTACTTGCATAGATCTCATCCCACCCTCTCAGCCCCTCCCTCTTTATCTCACATCTCCCAAGCACTTTGAACGTGGCGGAATGCATTTAAACATGCTTGCAACTTACTGCTTGATTAGTGTATGAGGATCACAATAACAGTTGGTTGTTTCGCAATAATAGGGGTGGGTACTACAGTCAGCTTTCTATAGTTCTTTGAAGACTCTCATCTCGACTTCCACGTTGTCTCCGTCAGACTGACGTTCATGATATCGTTCTACGTGTCTCAAGAGGCCGCAGGCGGATTGCGTGTAGTCACACGTCAGCTGTGCACACTAGTGAAGCTTGTCGGCGAATCGGTCATACCAAACGGACAGTTTTTAGCCGCTGAACTATCCACCAACATTCCTTTACAGGACACACCTGACACGCACATTGCTCGAAGAGAAATGCCTTACCTCCGATCTTCGGTCGCGACAGCGCAAGTTGTCATGTGTGTGCTGCTTGGGGGCATGTGTTACGTGAAGACAACGTTGCATTCGCTGCACGCGGAAGTCTTCGGTTCTCTCATTCCATGTCTTGATCACTGCAACACGAGCCTCGTGGAGGCATCCGTGGCCATTTCTGTCCACAACGCTCATGAATACGGTCGCCCTTGATCGAGATGTTGTACTTGGGTGAATTCTTCTGGTTCTGTTAATATCCGGTCATTCTTTCCGCGAAACAAATTCAATCTATTTCATTGAGATCTTTATGTACTGCATTTTGAAGGTCATGCAGGGGCATTGCACCCAGGTGCTGCGGCAGCGGCCGCTGAAGATTGGTGGAGTGGATCCTCCGCAACGCCGAAATGGCGCCAGCCATTACTATCGACACTGGTGTGCACACCAACCTTATGGATACATTTGGTGTGGGATTTGTATACCAAGCAAGTATCTAAGAAGGCTCTGAAACCTTGAACAAAATGCCGCAGAATCGTCACACAATGGCGCTAGTACGTAAAAAAGCGTTTCCATTGTGTTCCTATACTCGTCCTGTTGTCACAAGAAGTATGTTTTGGTTTATAGATCTACCATGCAGAGCAGCAGAAGGTGGGATCCACAACGACTAAAATCGAGATTAAAATCAAGGATGTTCTAGACATTAATGATATGCAACCAGACCTACATTTTGAAAAGTAGTATTCATAAACCACGAAAGCCACCAACTTTCATCTTAAACACCCAACCTTTACAAGGTACTTGTTTGGATGTATTTGCAGTAACCAAACTGTGCAAATCTACTACCTTATGCACCTGTTCATCAAATAAATTTGTTGACCTTCAATCCTTGTTTGAGGAACTAACAAAGAGCCTTTACTTTACCTTCTTCTGTGCTTCTTGCAACAGCTCGTTGACCTTGACTTGTGCTGCCTGGAGCATAGGCTTTGAAGCTTCAATTTGTTTCGCAGCCATTGGCTTAGCCTGCTCCCATGCTTTCTCAACATATGGCTTCGCTACTACACTGGCCTCTTTTACTTTCACAAATGCCTGCTCGCATATGTTGAATACTGATTTAGTCGCAACACTATTATAGGCCAGAATCAAGCAAAGACTGGCAGATAGCATTATGGTTAATGTACGCCAAAATCAAATGGTGAAAGTGTATTTTAGTAAATTCCATCTTGACACAACCGCGACCATTATTCAGACTAAGTGAAAGCATGACGTTGGAACTAGAATAGACAATACACCAACCGAAATCTCTCCGAATTTGTACCTGCTCTGCCAGAGGCTTTGCCTTGGCATATGCATCCTCTGCAACTGGAATTGCTTTGTCCACAAAATCATCTACTTTCTGCATATTACACGAGACGAATAAATGAAGACCATCGATCAACTATTAGAGCAACACCAACGAAAATTACATGCAATGAAGAACATCTCTATTTTCTGTATTGCTTCTACCATTGGATTGCTATTAGACATTGATGAAGGCAGATTCTATTGGTTACAGAATAAAAATGCAATAAAAAGGATGACAAAGGAGACTTACATCTTGAATTTCCTTTCGTTGATTTTCTGGCAGAATGAGTAGTGCAGCTCCAAAACCAAGCGTGGCTAAGAGCAGGAAGAATTGAGAAATAAAAAGAGGTAAAAACCCGTGTGTCTTCTTCTTGACGACTACACTTTGCACATTACCTTGCTGTCGTGTAACCTGTTGCATACAGCTAATTCAGTCACTGGACAAAATGACAGTACGCTATTCCATTCACCATAATTGGCAACTACGGAGCCTTGACGAGGAGAGGCAATGCTAGTAGCTAGTACGCGCTTCATCAAGGTCCGTTAGTTCCCAGACGGCACAAAATCTACTCCATGGTTATATAAATTACACTTAACGCAAAAATCTGCGTGCTATATCACACTTCAGCCTGTGTGTATGAATCCAAATAGAAGGTCGAACATCGAAAGGCAAAAAGCTCAGTTGCAAGAATAGAAGCGCAGCCGCCAACCCCCTTCACAGAGATTTTGTACCTTACCCTGACTTGTTGTAGGTGGCATATAGAGAAAATTGGATTAAGAAACTTAAGATCAACAACAACACGCATGCCACATTCTTCTTTGACAGAAGGTCTAGATATCATCACCTTCTCCACGGCAACTTTCTCACGCTCAGCTACCTGAGCAGCAGTTGCTTCACGTGCCCTGCGAGCCTCGATTTGTCTCTCCGCTTCTCTTCTATCCGCTTCTCGTCTCTCAGCTTCTCGCATGTCCGCTTCTCGTTTCTCAGCTTTCAGTGCTTCAGTTTCTCTTTCTTGACGAACCCTCTCTGCTGCTCCTTCAAGCCTCTGAAAGGCCAGCCACACATTGAAGGAAAGGCCAACAAGGATTTGTATTTCCAACACAATCGACCAAAAAAGCACGTAGCACGAATAAAAAAATTATTATTCACATGTCCAACACGGAACAGGTTACATTGTGGAACAGAATATGTTTACATCAGCCAGATGTAACGTTGGAAACTGTGCTACAAGATCGTGGAAGGTGAACATGATCGAGAGGAGAATAAATAGGTGCTCACAGCTGCTGATGTTGAGATTCTTGGCTGCTCTGCCTGTACAGTTGCATCCGGAGCAGGAGCAGGAGCATCTGGGACAGGGGCAGGAGCAGGGGCTGGAGCTTGAAAACCCCGCCTACCTCTTTTCTCCTGAAAAAACCCGTTTTGGGGGTCAGCACACTGGACTTATTACAACATTCACCTAATCAAGAAAAGTTACTTATTAACATGTAATCCACCAGAAAATGCCATGGTGGACTTCATGAACATACCTTAATTTTCTGAAGAAGTTCTTTGTATGCGTCCTGGTTGGTTGTGTTCACGTCAGCTGCAATTGCTGTAGATGGTGCAACTAGATCTTCCAGAATTGGAGTGCTTCCTGCTCAAATGCACTAAAGCAGATCAGAGTTCCCACAAGAGCACGAGTAAATCCGAGGACCTATAACTAGGCACCTCGAAAAGATTCAGTTACATAGTCCATCTTTTATTACATACCAAAAGACAACACAATGGGCAAGTTCAAGATTGAGGAAGTGCTCATTGGATCTTGAACACGATTCTAAACAATGTGCCCAGAGCAGTTGTATTGGTGCATAAGAGAAACGTTGTATGAAATCTGTCTCGCAACGATTAAGCTACCCAGCTAGTTTCAAGTATCAGATGAGCAACAGGGCACGTTGCATGAACGACATTCCTCCGGCCCACTACTTGAGAATATGTTTGCATTGCCCACCCCCGCCCTAAGACCAATGAAGAATTCATCCACGAGCGTGTACGACTACTCATCTTTGAAGTGCCAAAACTAATATCATCAGAAACAAAAAAACACTCCAACAAATAAAGGATCCTTCAACTCCACTTCTACATCGCAGACTTCAAGAAGTGCCAAAAATCCAATGTCAATAAGTTGAACAGCGCGACAACCAGGTGTACAGCTTCTCCAGATTCTCAACTTGCACGCAGCGAAATTCAAACCTTAACCTCAAAAACCTGATTCGAACAAACACCAATAGAACCCTCTGAAAGAATTCGAATCTACTTTTAACCAAATCATAACTAAACTTCAATTGGGCAGACAAAAGCACTAACCAACCAGGGCGGCAACAGTAAAAAATGGGAAAAGAACGCCTCCAACACTAGTCCTGAGCTTGTCAGCCTCTCCAGCCGAGCTAGAAGTGGCGCATTGCTCGCTCCATTTGGGCTTAGATGAGCTGCACGAAATGACGGCTGGAGAGCGAACCCGCTTGTGCAAGAACGGCTGTTGCGCAGGCAATCCTTGCAATGGCGTCCGGCTCATTGCCATGCTCATGCTCGCCATCGCCATGGCTGCTCCAATCACAAGACACACCAAAAGGAGCTGCAATGGCAGCAAACAACGGATGGGCGTGGAACGGAGTGGATTAGATGGATGCTTAAGACCTGGTCTAATCCGGGTATGTCCACCGCGCTCATGATTCCAACCCCTCAGTGCCAACCCATTTTAGCACCCAACGAAACTAGTTCAGCAAAATCCAACTTGCATGCACAACATTGAATGATGTCCCTTTGTTTGTGCAAAACTGGCGGAAAAAATGGCACTTTTAGCAAAAAACAGAGCAATACATTGCATTCTCTCAACAATATTTGTCGTTGATCACGTCTGCAAATGGAAATTCCCTCAGTAGGTGCGACTCCAATCTTTACTTGTCCAATTCTGTGACAATGCTTTCAGGTTCCGTTTCTGGGTTCGCTGCTCGTGAATGCGCCGTTTGATTCTAGTGTTGAGAGATAGATAAGGGGTGTTCAGAGAAGAATGCGGCAGCTATTCAGAATCCGTTAAGCAGGGTGTGGGTGGAGTGAAGTTGTATTGAAACTCATACCTCAACCTCACTAGTGCGTGGTTTTCCTTCCAAACTCCTCAGCCTTTTCTCATCATTTGATTTAGGCGAGTATTCTTGGGACCTGTTGTTGTGTCGGTCACACGGTATCGCTCCAATTGATTATCTAAAAACAATGTTGTTTCATGTGGAAAATCAACTAGGAAACTGAGAACAATATGTTGTTATCATATTAACACACATTTCTTGACTGTTGTACGTCTACATTTGCTATGGAGCAGGGATATATTATCTCGAAATTGGTGATTTCAGTAGGATGAATAAAAGAATGAATATTTGTTGTAGATGTTTATTTAAATCATGAATTTGGATAATGTGAAGTTTTGTGGTATTTTTTTTGTTTAAGGGGTGATGAGGGTAGCACAAGGGTGACTAGAATGAAGCCTAGTTAAGATTCATTATCTTAAAACAATGTTGTATGTGTAAAATAAATTAGAAAAGTGAGAACAAAGTGTTTCATATGAGATAGATAACTCATTTCAATAATTTAAGCATTTCAACATATATCTAGCGGGTATAAAAATAGAGAAAAAAAAAAAAAAAAAAAAAAAAACTATATAGGGAAATAAAAATCAAGAGAATTTTAAGTGCTTTCACACAATTTGGTCTAAAAAAAACTATATGAATATTACACTTGAAGATATCTCTTTGATCCATTTCCATCATATAAGCCAACCTAATTCCAATTGGTGGTAGGTTACAAAACCAAGAATCCAACTTTTACAAAATCATGATATGTGGCACCTTATCATGCTATCAAACTTCACCTAATTTTGTGCTACTTATAGATGTAAATGTGTGGATGAGGCAACAAAAATTCAAACATTTTATTGTAAGTAATCCACCAAGTTTGAATTGGATTTTTGCTACCATTCTCGTTTCTACTTATCTCCAAGCAATATCTCACACATCCTTCATCTTCCAATCTCACTCCAATAACTCTCTAATTGGCCAATATATAATCAACCGCCACATATGTGTAACTCCACTATTGTAGAAATTGATTTTTGATAGTTTATACATATTGATTCCAAGTACTATGAACTTTATATACTACTCATAGTTTAACATCATTTCTACAAGGCCTATGACCTATTTTTGACTACAAAATGTTAGAATTGGTCAACAATAGGTTGCTAGTGTAGCAGAAATATTCCACCCTATAAGATAGAAATGAAGGGTGGTTGACAATGGGTTGGCTATCTTATTATTAAAGTCATGGTTTGAAGTCAAGCTCTTCTCTACATCAAGAACCCATATCATGCACATAAGATTCTTTGACATTTATTATTTTAATAAAATCTAGAAATAGATATCACATACATGGCTTGGTCACTTGTCTATTACATTCATTTTAGGTGGAAAAATAAAATTACAAGAAATATGATTCTTTTAAGAATATATATATAGATACAAATTTATGATTTTTTTTCAATTACAAAAAATATATATTTTTAATATGATTCTTTTTTATATAAATAAAAATAATAATAAAGATTCAATGAATATGGAAAAAGATAAAGGTTTGATTTTTTCATATGAAGATAAATAAATAAATTATATAAAAGAATATATTCTTTGGTTTGAAACATCCAAACACATTCAAGAGTTTATTAAAAAAAGTTATATTAGATTACAAAAAAATAAATAATATTACAAATATAAAGAATATTTAATAAAAAAATATTTAATAAAAAATAACACTATTATAGTAATTACTATAGGATTATAACAAAAAGCTTGCATGACCAATCGTGAGTAGTAGTTGTGAATAATAAATCATTAATAGTGAATTTGCATTATTATATGCATATTTACATATAAAAATAATGAAATTTTAACCACTTATACTACATGATTTTTTTAGGAAACACCACATATAAGTATAATAACATTTTTTCGAGTTTAGTTCTGCTGTTTTCTTTCTTTTTGCTTTTTTTAATAACATAACAAGTTCTGAAAGACTTAATATTTGTTTTAAATCTAAAACAGATTTTAAGTCAGATTTTATTGTGTAATCAATGGAAAAACACCCATCACAAGAGATCATCTAAGAGTTTATAGCAAAAAAAAGTTACAAAAAAATCAAAATATAATAATAAAAAAAAAAACGCCTATTTTGTCACAAAAATAAGTAAATATTTAAAAAAATTAAAAAATCAAGATTGACTAATAACTCATTGTGTAAAAAATATATATTTGTATATAGTTAAGGTATTTTAAATGTAATATATAAAATATATTATAATATTTCTATTTTTGTTAAGGATATAAGGATATTACTTTTTTTTATTAATAATATTAATATATATGTGTATACATATAGGCTTAATTGACAATAAAATTATCTCCTTATTAATCCATTCAGATTATTTCTTTTTTCATTTCTTATTTTTTTTATAAACTTTGTTTTAGAAAAATTCTAAGATAATTCAATATTACAATGATAATACAAAAAAATTTGATAGTATTATACAATACTCAATGAATGATGAAAATCTAATTAGAGAAAATAAAAAAAATCTAGACCTTTCTTAAAGTTTTATTTACTTTAAATTTTTTTATATAAAAATAACTTAGTTACTAATCAAGTATTTGAAGAGAACTAGAGGTTAAATATTGGATAAAAAAATAAAAGTTAAGTATGAATCATTTAATTTATTTTATTGTATTCTAATTTAGGCATTTTAGATATAAAAGAATAATATATATATATATATATATATATATACACACACACACACATAATTTAATAAATTTCAACTTAAAGATATTATAAAAAGTTGAGTGTTATAAATTAAATCAAAACAATATTACACAACTCTTTTATTTAATTTAGAATTAGAATTTAAATTCCAAAGTAAGTGAAATATTTGTCTAACTTTTGTATTATCATAAATGTTTTATTGAGAAAAAAATAAACTTATTTGTTATTAATTTGATTTGATAGAATTGAATGAGTATCATTATATATATATATATATATATATATATACATATATCTTATTATAAAAATAAAAATAAAATCATACATAAACATATGTGTGTGTGTATATATATAAATATATAAAAATAATTTTTTATATTTATACATAATAAATAAAAAAATATAAAATTTTAAATTTAAATAACCTAGTTTTAGATTTAAGAGAAACAAGAGAAAAGAATGATAGATCTTCTTAGCTGGAGAGATCCCTCATAGATGGGACTCCTTCCTAAGGATTTTGGATAGGCCAAAAAGCTCTAAATAACTACTTTAATAAATATTTTTGACCACATTGGTGTCCAAATTTTTAGATAAACCTAGTAGTCTTTATAATCCTAATCTTATAAAATAACTCAATTTTGAGCTCTATGTCATAATTTCTTGAAACTCCAAATAATTAGAGATCTCTACATTCATTATTAAATTACATAAATGACCACAATCCCTACTTGTATCTTAAACTTAATCAAAATCTTAATTTAACTAAACTAGGAAATAATTCTCATTCTAAAAATTCCTAAGAAAAATTCTATAAAGGCTTGCATCTCTAGAATTGGCATTCTAATTTTATTTTATTTTATCTATCTAAGATTTTCTACAACTAACTCACAAGAATTTATAATTTTAAGCACAATAAGTGCATTTTTTGTTCTAAACTCATAAGTGAGTCAATTCAATGACTCAAACTAATTCACTAGTCTTATTCGGTTTTAGAAATAAATGGATTACCCTACTTCTTTTGTTAGGTTTTGAAAATTGCAGACTATCAAGAAAAAGTTTACCTTGTAAATAGAGAAGGGTTTATAAAGTCACTTAATTTAATGATTTAGAAGTAATCATAAGCCATCCAATATTTTTACAAAAGAGATGTATCATTACTTATTTTCTAGGCACATAATAATTGCATTCATAAACTTTGAAACAAGATTTAGTCAAATTCAAACAACCCAATTCCTCTTTGAACGTTGATAAATGCACACTTTAGGAACATTTGCAACAGAAGCCCTAAAATTGCAGTTCGCGTGAGCAGGAACATCGACGGAGAGCAATGTGTGTGAAGAAGCGTGAAGCTAAGACGAAACCTACTCCACATCGAAGCATCGATTTCCAAGCCCTCCAACAATTGTCGACTGATGCAAGGGAAGCGTTGGTCACGCTTGTTTCAGCTGATTTCGCCTGCTGCAGCATCTAGATCTAGAATGAATGCGAAGCCGCTCCAACAATTTCTACTGCAGGACTGTGTGCTTGGAAGCATGGTGAAGGTTGTGGATGATGGAGTTCAAGACGGAGGAGGATTTACGGCATGGTCGGGTGCGTAAGTAGCGAGTGAAAAGCAATCGGTCAACTTCTTACCCTTGATGAGAAGGTATTTACGCATCGCGCCTTCGAGCTTGAAGTCTGCTTTTTCTAGAACACGCCGCGAGGCGATGTTGTCTTGAATCACCACAGCCTCCATCCTCGCGATGTCCATTCCTTGAAACACGAGGGCCAGCATTTGCTTCCCGGCGATGATGGCCACGCCCATGCCCCAGTAATTCCTCGCGAGACAATAGCCCATCACGCCCCTGCAGGCGTCGTACCCTGTCCCGGGCTCCACCTGCATGGATCCCGCCGCCTCGCCGTCCACGCAGATAGCCTTGATCCACGGATGCGGGATGGCGACATCCTGGAGATAGTTGAGGGCGTCTTGTTCCGATGTGTATGTCCCACATCAGACATTTTGTGACCTCGTCGTCCGTGGCCTATCCTAAAAACCCCGCAAGGTCGTCAGTGTTGAAACCTCGCAGCGTCACCCGGGA